AATGCAAATCAGATTATATTACACTTAACTCTATCCCTATATTCGCATAAATCTATGTGTATTTGAATAGTAGTCGACATTAAAGTTAAGTTTCAGTAATTTTGTACTCCTATTGTAGTAAAGCACTTAAAATAAATATACCATGAGCTAAATATAGAGTTATAGTGTTTTATTTATAAATAGGTTTCAATTCTTAAATTGTATTCAAATTTTTGTAATAATTATCTTAAATAAAATATTTTTAAATTAAAGAATTTTTAAACTAAAGTCTATCATAAAAATGACTATATCTTTCATTCAAAACTTGGATATTCTGTGAAAGAATTTAATATTTCATTTTATCAGTAATTTTGATGTTACGGTATATCATATTATTTTACAAATTCAATTTACAGAATAATTCTAAGTTTGTTCAACTTTTGAATACAGTACCTAACACTGAAGTTTTATGACATTTTATTACACTTTTTAATAAAAAATATTTTAGAAAAAATCTGATTTAATATTAATATTGTGTTTTACTTGAATGTTATTTCATCAACAGTTATAAGTTATGTGCAAAATGTTTGTCTCACAACTACCTGCTCTGTATTGTGTTGTATATGCCGTACATTACTGTCCATTAATGCAATAAAAGTGACAAATTCTGTGTTTAATAGATCATCAAAAGATCACAACTATAGCTGCAAATGTATACTTTATTTGCTATCATTTTCTTTATTCTCGTTTACTCTCTGTGTTTATAAAACTTTATTCAGTTTTCTTTATTTTGTCGTTTATTTTCATACACTTTATTCAAAAGCTTTTTATTTTATTTCAAATTTTGCGTTTACTCTCTACTCTTTTTTATTATTATTTTTGTTACTCTTATTATTCTTTGGGTTCGGAACCTATAAAAGATTTATTATTAAAACCAAAAAAGAAATAATGGAATTGAAAGTCATTTTTCAAAAAAAGTCAAGACTTAAACACAAAATACAATGAGTGCACTGAAATAAAGAGTATTTTATACTTTTATATATGGAGTACAGAAAAACCAAAACTACATATAAATATAAAATAAATAAAGTATAAGAGGAGAGAGAAAATGTTGAATACTTCTCGAGATATGATAACCTCTCTCTCTCTCTCTCTCTCTCTCTCTCTCTAAACTGTCATTATTAGCCTAAATGTCAGGCAAATCAGTGGTGAGCACAGGGGTTTCAAAAGTACTAATATTTATATCCAGGCACGATTTATTTATTAAAGTTGCAAAGCATTTTATTAATCTCTCTCTCTCTCTCTCTCTCTCTCTCTCTCTCTCCACCCCTCCTCTCAAACTTTAATCAAAAGATTATTTTTTGTTTTTAACTCATAATATTAAACTTCAAAAAACGTTTAACTTTATAAATAGTATGTGATTTTTTTTGTATTTTTATAAAAATATTAAATATCGTTCTTAAGTTTTATTTCAGAAAATATATTTAATTTCAAATAAAATAAAAACACAAATAAATGTAAAAGTCCTGAAATAAAAAGCTGTGAACATAAATGAAAATAAAAATATTGAAAACATTATTTTATTATTATTGGTCTTACAGTTAACAATTTTACTATTTTATTTTATTTCAATCATTTCGCTTATGATTACTGTTTGCTATAATTGTTATTATAATACGGAAAGAGAAGTGAGAAATATTGTCATAAAATTCTGTTTTTTTGTCAGAATTTTTACACTTTTTTCATATCATTTCTCAACTATTTTATTGATTTCAAACCCCAACACAAATTGCAAACATTTGCCTCCTTTCCTGTCTATTGCATCGGTTTTTTGTATGAAGTCTCTCTCCCCCACACTTTCATATATTAAATGTTTATGTCGTACCCTCACTATAAGACTCCGAAATATGTATACCTTTTAAAGGATCACAACATTTTCAATCAAAATTACAATAAATCAAATTTTTTATTCAGAATATTCTGTAATATAACGAATTTCAATTATAATATTTGACAGTATCGTTAATTTAAAAACCATAGACTTTGTATATTTTAAAGTATTCCTACTTGATAACTTGATAATTAAAATATTCTCTATTGTATTAAAAAATAGCTTTCATTAATCGTTAATTCATTATTTCTCAACAATTTTTCTCAATTTTTGTAAAAATAATAAATCAATTTATTTCACAACAGAATTACAGCGAGACTTATGTTTTGAATTATTAATGCAAAAAGCTGTGAACATAAATGAAAATAAAAATATTGAAAACATTATTTTATTATTATTGGTCTTACAGTTAACAATTTTACTATTTTATTTTATTTCAATCATTTCGCTTATGATTACTGTTTGCTATAATGTTATTATAATACGGAAAGAGAAGTGAAAAATATTGTCATAAAATTCTGTTCACTTTTTTTTCGTCAGAATTTTTACACTTTTTTCATATCATTTCTCACAACTATTTTATTGATTTCAAACCCCAACACAAATTGCAAACATTTGCCTCCTTTCCTGTCTATTGCATCGGTTTTTTGTGTGAAGTCTCTCTCCCCCACACTTTCATATATTAAATGTTTGTGTCGTACCCTCACTATAAGACTCCGAAATATGTATACCTTTTAAAGGATCACAACATTTTCAATCAAAATTACAATAAATCAAATTTTTTATTCAGAATATTCTGTAATATAACAAATTTCAATTATAATATTTGACAGTATCGTTAATTTAAAAACCATAGACTTTGTATATTTTAAAGTATTCCTACTTGATAATTAAAATATTCTATATTGTATTTTTAATAGCTTTCATTAATCGTTAATTCATTATTTCTCAACAATTTTTCTCAATTTTTGTAAAAATAATAAATCAATTTATTTCACAACAGAATTACAGCGAGACTTATGTTTTGAATTATTAATGCAAAAAATAGCTTTCATTAATCGTTAATTCATTATTTCTCAACAATTTTTCTCAATTTTTGTAAAAATAATAAATCAATTTATTTCACAACAGAATTACAGCGAGACTTATGTTTTGAATTATTAATGCAAATGAATACACATTTTGTTTTTATTTATTTTGTTAATGTTGTACATTAGTGAATATATTATACCATATATTTACTATAATGAGAATATTCTGTGAGTCATATAACAGAATATATTGTATTTATAAATATGATGTAAAGAGCTATGACTGACTAATAAGTCATTCACATGTTATAAGTCTGTCAAATATGTGACACTTTTTCGACATTTGATTTATGTATTGAATAAACAAATAAAATCTCATGAAATGGATATCATGTACGGTATAAGTCGAGTACAAAATCTTTAAATAAGATCTGAATTAATCACACTTTCATATATGAGAAAAAGGGTTATTCACTCAGATTTGTCTTATAATTAAATCAAATTAATCCAATATTCAGCAATGTAGAATTTAATTTATTTTTAATAGTTAATGAATATTAATGTATCACATAAAAAATTTAATTAAAAATCTCGGTGATCATAACTTTATAATATATATCATATTGAGAGTACAATTTTCACCCATTTCTAAGCACTTATGATCTCTACTTAAAAGTTTAATTAATACTCAATTGATTGAAGTAAATAAAAAAATAGAGGAAATATAAATTGATTTTGAAAACCCGGAAATCGATTTTTGATTCACTCTTTTGTGCTTTCGATTCAATCCATTAATAAATCCGTTTTGTTAAAGAAGTATAACTCAAAAAATCTATTATAAAAAATAAATTTTTATAATCTATTAAGTGTTCAATAAGTTTAAGTCGAGAGTGAAGTAAAGGAGAAATATAATTGAAATTACTATCAAAAGGATTGGTTGAACGGACTGTTCAGCAAATATCATATAATATAATAATAGCATTTGATAGACACCAGTAGTACGGCTGTAATACCTGTCCTTTTATTGCATACCAATGACAACACAAAAGCAAAAATAAATACAAATGAAAATAAAACTAACCTTTTATTAGGCAAACAATTGCAGTCCATTTGATGATTAGCACAATATAGGAGTTCCACATAATTGACGGTTAAGTTATAGATTAAAGACATAGAATATTCTTTATATTAAGAATATTCTGTGGTTTTCTCAAAACACATACATATTGTGTGATAGATATATAGCTCGACACAAATGTAAGAATCGTTTGAATTGTTTTTATGATTCTTTGTGTTTATTCATATGAATTCCTACAACAAAAAAGTATTGTATTCTGTGTTGTACTCTATTTTACATCAATACATCTACTCAATGTATGTATGAATTGTGTACTGAATATATTCATATGTATGGACTATAACTCACATTATTGTATAAATAATACAAAGTCTGTGAGAGTGTCAGTGACTGAGACATTGATATATCACTTCTTTTTAAACAAGAATTGCTTTTTTCGCTCTTTTTGTGTTCAAAATCAACTCTATTTTGAATAAGAGTTTATAACTTATACATAGATATAGTGTTTTTGCGGGGATTTTCCCAAATGTTTGTGTATTTCTTATGGAGAAGTAATGACACAAATATGCAAAATATTATTCTTTAGCTTTAAATGAATTCAAACAAAGAATACAAAGTTTTTTAGACAACAAAATGAAAAGTTATGTAAAGTTTTGTGAAATAAATAATGTTTTTTCATACATTAAATAACAAAATATTAAACTTTTTTCACATTTGTTTCGTACAGAAGTTCGTTAAACTGTTTCACAAATAGTTATAATATTAATAAAGTTTAAAACTTTTGTCATATATTAAAGTGAAACACAATGTGAACAGAAATATATTTCTATTAATTTAAATCACAATTTATTTAAAAGTTTATTTATGTTTAGAAGTCAACAAACTATGAAAATATGAGACAATGTTTTGCAGTTATATTCACACATATATTGTACACAAATAATTGCAGTTTTTATTCAAAGAATGCTAACAAACGAATGAAACGAATGAACGGAATATAGAGTTAAGCGAAACCTACTATTCCTATGGATCGGTAGGTAATGGCAGACATGCGCTCATAATATACAGAATATACAGAATTATAACACATTTGCCGTCAAAAGGCTATGACTGGAGAGCATAGGGTTTGAGACAAAACTTTTAATATAAGCATAACTTCATTACATGACTATTGGGTATAAATGTCTTACAGTTTGTCATATAATATATAATATAATAATAGTTAATACCTTTGAGTCGTTCATAGTATTGAAGCCGATGTTACGGTTTGCGTGGATCTCGAAGTCTTGGAAGTATTGGTTTTCGAGGAATTTAGACACAAATCCACAAACCCTTACCTCTTGATTGCCATCTGTAATCGGATCGTCCAATACATTTAAGATGTGTTGACACAGATTTTTCTGCACTTTTTTCTTCAATTGGTTTCGTAAATAGTTTAACGAATCTTTTGTGAAATCAAGTTTTGGTTGATATAAAAACTCCCAAAAGTCACCTTAAAATCAATTAAATGCAATGTTATCATTTTAATAATTCACAAACTTTTACTTAAGTTAATAGACTTTCTGTTACATTAATAAGATTTATGCTAATATTCACATTAAAATACCTATATCAATTAACAATATGCTATATTTAATGCCATGGTCATTTATGGTCAACTGGTCATTTATTATGACCATTGATTTAGTTACACAATCAGTACATTGTGTTCATTCAATTTATCACTAATGAAATAATACAGAATCTGTGGCTATAATAGTGTCCAGATGTTGTGTTTCTCATTATGTCAGATATATATTATATATTAGTTTCAATTTTAATGTCATTTCTCATTCAACCTGTTTTTGTTACACACTGTACGGTATGTTATGGCAAACAATATGTTGTTTCTTAAATTATTTATTGTTTTAATCTTAATATAACACAATAGAAAAAACTATTATATAAAATTAACTAAAATATTGTATTTAAATATAAAAATTTAAAATGAATCTAATTTAGTTACAGTAGTACATCAGATCACATATTTGCACACATTTCTCTGAACACGGAATTTAAGTTAACATTAAATAATAAAGTTATAAATTGTAACTGATTTTTCACGCAAATTTATAAAATAATATTGATTTTCAATTTTTCATAATTTTAATGTCAGAAAAAACATTTTGAAAAAACGAGAAAAATCTGACAAAAGATAGATTAAAAAGTTTATCAAATGTCACGTTATTATTATAATCTAAAGACTTCCACAACTTATATCATATCTCACACTAATATGAAGTTTAATCTCTACTCAAAACTACAGCACAATTATAAAAGTATTTAAAACACTGAATACAGTATTAGTTTATATAAAAAATTATTGTTTTTATGATCTTATTATACTGTCATTGTACAAAATGTACAATAGATAGTTATAAGACTTGATCCATTCAATGGTATAAAAGTCTTATGGCTTTACGTTTTAGGCTTTCATTTGTCGATAAATCACACATTTATTTATAAGGCTCTCTCTCTCTCTCTCAAAATGTACAATAGATAGTTATAAGACTTGATCCATTCAATGGTATAAAAGTCTTATGGCTTTACGTTTTAGGCTTTCATTTGTCGATAAATCACACATTTATTTATAAGGCTCTCTCTCTCTCTCTCTCTCTCTCGATTGGCACACAATGACACGACTTTGTAGTCAATATATTGTCTTAAACAGGCTATCGGTGCACACATATAGAGACAAATAGATGGACAGACAGACAGTGAATTGAATGGATAAGTTAAGTTCAATAGAGAGACATGCAATACATAAGTCCAATACTAAAGTCTTAAACTCTTTGTCTGAATATAAAAAATCTTGTATTCAATACAAGACAATAACTATGATATCAATGGAAAGTATGTTTGCGTTAATATACAGTTAGTATAAGCCGTTTGTGTTTCACCGCAAACACAGACACAAAGAGTTATATGAGATCTGATTTTATCATAAATAGTCTCCTTTTCTCAGTCTATTGTATTCGTTGCACGTTAACCACAAATACATCAACTAATCCATAGGTCTTATACTATGAACTCAAGAATATTCCACTCTTTTATTGATTCACTTGTATTTCAAGAATATATATACAATTGAATGGGTTTTATATCTACTGAGAATATAGTGTATAATATAGAAAATAATAATAAATTATTATAAGATTTTTATGATTGAATTCTCTATGAATTTATGTCTTATATTTCCTAAAGATATAAAAATAGGAGAAAAAACTTTTTTATATATTACTTATAAACTAATTCATACTCCAACTGAATATTATATGATTATCTCATATGAAAAGAGCACTATTTTTAATGTTTATCGAGGCAAATAAATAAATAAATTTCAAATTTAAACTATATTTTTTAGATTTTTATTTGTATTTTATTATAATTACAATTTAAAAGTATTATATCAATATATACAATCACATAAAAAGTTCTTAATTTTGCATTCAATTTGCATATAAATCAACATTTATTTATTGTATACTTAGATAGTTATAAATATTTATAAATAATAATCATCATTATAAATACAATATAAATTATAAAATACAGAATAAACACAATATTGAACGTAAAACTTAATACTAAATACTCAAGTTGTGTACACGAGATATGATAGGAATGTGTATCTCATGTAATATCCAATGATTGATATCTGATTCTTACGTATAAAGTATTGAATAATTGAATTATCGGTGTCTGTAAAGCCAGTGCCGAAGACAACAGCGCCAGGAATGTGAGACTAATAATAAAAACTAGTGATGAATGCACTACCGGTGCCCACGACTGCCAGCGGTGCAGCGAATACCCGACGCACACCATAATCAGCGATAATTTATTTGTGTCCATCACTCCCGACCATAACTGTGACGCCCGACTCGCTAGACGTACAGATAGGAGATAAACCTTACCATCAGATCTTTCACTTATAATTAATGTCTTGTTTACGTGAATCGTATGTTTGACAGAAGTATTAAAGTTATTAAAACTAAATCAAACTTTTATTACAAATTCTTTATTTCTTTTGGTATACAAAGTAATGAAAAATGTTTTCAAAATAAAGTCTATTATGAGATTTCTAATGTTCTTGATAAGAAAATTGAGTGAAGTTTAATTTATATGTTAATATCACATACAAAACTTTAGACTCTAATATTTTACTAATTGGCTAGTTAATACTTGTAAAATAATTAATTATTAGACATCTGCCTAAATAATATGAAATAGAATAAATGTATTTACGGTAACTTATATACTGTATTGAAATAGTGTCCAATTATTAGCATATATAGTATCAATGAATACGATGTCGAGAGCATAATCACGACCTAAGGCTACATACCGTCAACAGTCATGAGTTTCTCGGCGAACACCGTTTGGAAGGTTCCCTCAACACTGATCTCACACTTGTAGTTACCAGTGGTCCGCACATTAGTGCCGCTAATTGTAACGGTTCCGCCCTCTGATTTGTTGAGCTATACGCCAAACATAAGTGTAATTTTCATTTTTCATATGTCATACATTATTATTAAAGCCGTTTGTATCCACAAATGAGAAACATCTAAATCAATCTCTTAAACAAAACAAAACAAAAAACAAATCTCTCGAAACATATGGGAAAACCTAATCTCCAAATGTTATGAATTTGTTTCTAATAAGTATTGACTGTTATATATATTTTATTTGTGGCTCCCATCGCATGCAATTAATAAATGGATTCTATATCTGGGAATATAATGGATACTAATTGTCATTTGGATTGAATGGAGAGGTTGTGGGGAACGGGAACTCACGTCAACATTAATGCCGTCCAATGGGAAGATTTGTTTAACAGGTTTGCCGCGAGGGGTGTACCGAAAGAACTCCTGTTCGTCTCTCTCCCGATGCGACTCTCGATAAAACCATTTCAATGAATACAGGGATGCGTTGCCCAAGTCGTACAGACACGACAACTCCACTTCACTGCCCTTCCGGACCCGATTCGGTACGTTCAGTGACACCAACTTTATGCACGTTATGCCTGTCAGACAGGGATTGCCATCAAATACATTATATTCACAATTCTATACAAAAAGTTTACTTATTAAATGCTTTCTACTATGGCTAGTTGACCATGTTAATTAAAATATTTAATATCCTAAACATATTAACCACAATATCACAGAATTTATATTAAAGATAGTCCTAAATTGTAATTAAACACTAATTAATTAAAAACAATACTCTATTGAGTGAATTGCTAATTTTTCAATCATATTATTCGCAATCTTTTTAATGAATAGTGATATCCATTATACAAATTTGGTTATTATATGCTATCTCAACCTAATTTGGATTATAAAAAGAGTCCAATAATTAGGTGAATGATTGAGTGGAGTACAGATAAGAAAGTTTAGCAGTGATTAGCAGTTTTTGCAGCGCTATAATAAACTCGCAAATCAATAGGTAATTATTTTGTTTGATTCTCCCTCTAAACTGTCATTATTAGCCTAAATGTCAGGCAAATCAGTGGTGAGCACAGGGGTTTCAAAAGTACTAATATTTATATCCAAGCACGATTTATTTATTAAAGTTGCAAAGCATTTTATTAATCTCCCTCTAAACTGTCATTATTAGCCTAAATGTGAGGCAAATCAGTGGTGAGCACAGGGGTTTCAAAAGTACTAATATTTATATCAAAGCACGATTTATTTATTAAAGTTGCAAAGCATTTTATTATTAACAAGTATCATTTAGGTAGATATGAACATTTAACAACAATTTAAATAAAGTAAAGGTTTTACTTTAATTTGACAAATCACTTATAATTTAAAATCATGAATAAACAGACAATATTTATCTATTTAAATGTCATTTTTTATTTTTACATAATGTACTTATATGTGCATTCATATCTGACAATAAATTCAAAATTCATTTTTAAATGTTTATATTTATAAATAATTAATTACATTTTAGAACATATTTCTGATGCAAACTTTTAACATAAAATTCATAATTAAAAAAAGTAAATTAAGTTTTTTGTTACAAAATTAACTAATATTTTGCTATCATTTATCACAAGAAATAATAAACTTTTTGTTGTTTTGTCTGTTATCTGATTCCATGGCATAAAATTAGGCGAAAAAGTATAGAAATTTTGATTAATTATTTGATGAATAATTAAATCAAAAGCAGATTAAAGGCTATAATAATAGTGAAAAAGTGCACCGAAATGAATGGTTTGATCTGCAAATACATTGTCAGTATATAACTGCTATTCAGTCCCATTGTTATACCATTTATTATAACCACAAAAAAATGAAAGCCATATAATAAATGTATTGTGACTTTTGGTTCAATTGTTTTAATAATAGACTAAAATATATATTCAATACTAAAATCCCAAACATATACAGAATATATACTGTAATAACACACATAAGAATTCTATATGAAATACAGATTATAAAAATGGCAATCATATAATACTATGGCTATAATCGCGGTATATTTTTAATGCAGAATATTCTCTGTCTTTTGTGTGTAATAAATGTTTTTTGTTTTGATTCTCTGAACACTATATTTATAATACAAATAATACGATAATAAATATAATATAAAAAATTTTGTGTCCATAAAAATCTAGCACTTGATTGATGATAATTAGTGTTACCGCCGATGGCATCGATGTGTCATTCATAAGGCAATCATCATTTATACAATACATACATATCATACATACCAGTGCTGTGGTGCTGTTTGCTTAATAATAAAGCATTATATTATTATTTTTTGTATTTTTAGTAAATATGAACTAATATTAGTGATCATTAACTTAATGGTATTGTAAATCATATTCAACACAAAGCCATATATTTATGAACAATAAATGTGAAGAATTAGTCGTCAGTTTACACTTTAATAAATACTGTTTCGTATATTATATACAACTTTGTGTGTATTTTGTGCTCTAATTAACTGTAATTTTATGCATAAATATTTGATAAATTATTGTAAATTTAGTTTTTAATTTGTATAATTTATTGTATGTCCTTTTATGCTATCATTTAGTATGAATACGGTATATGGAAAAGTTGTTGAGCACTTTTTTGCTAACCATTAAATTTGTAATCCTTTAGCTATTTTATGAAATAATTATTTATTTTAAATTTATTAAGCCAATTAAATTTATAATATACTTTTTTAATTTTAAAAAATATACTGTAGATTTTAATTCATCAACTTATTAATAATAATAATAATTCAACGTAAAGTGTTAAAGTAAGTTTAAAAGTTTTAAATATAAAATACAATTTTTCTATTTTATAAGAAGTGAAAGTAAATATAAGACTTAAACTTATATCAATTTGAAACTTTTAAGCCAAAACATATACTAAAATCTTAGATATTATGTCTCTAACGGTGAGAGTCTAACCATTTCTATACAAATATTAAGCTTCCCTTTTATTTATTTTTGATATTTTGACCTATAATTGAGTGAATAAGTGAAGAGAGAGAGAGAGAGAGAGTCTTTTCAGGAGAGATAAGACATTCACAAACAAAATACCAAAAAAGAAGAAATATATTATTCTTAGGAATCGATAGTAAACTATATTTTTTGCTTAAGAATTAAATCAGAGGCCATGAAGAAAGAGATCCAAAAGAATGAGAACCTGAAGAATGAGATCCCAAAGGCTGAGGCTCTGATTAAAGAGATCCAGAAGAATGTGGTCAAAGAGAGATTATATGATATTCTTGTGTGGATTCCATACGATTCTTAGCGAATCTAACAGCCATTACTCATCATTACTGTTAGATTTAATTCTTAAGCAAAAAATATAGTTTACTATCGATTCCTAAGAATAATATATTTCTTCTTTTTTGGTATTTTGTTTGTGAATGTCTTATCTCTCCTGAAAAGACTCTCTCTCTCTCTCTCTCTCTCTCTCTCTCTCTCTGCACTGATTTTTCATTGAAACTGTGAGACAACAGAATATAGTATATATAATATTTTTTATTCTTAAAGCCATTTATGAGAATTAAATTATTTGCGATCTTTTTGTTATTTAATTTAGGATTTAATTTAATCAAACAGTTTTGCTATAATATAATATACACTACAAAACACAGATAAATCATAATAAAAATCTCATTAATCTCTATCTCCTTATCAAATCTGAGCTGAAATTATAGATTTAATTCTTAAGCAAAAAATATAGTTTACTATCGATTCCTAAGAATAATATATTTCTTCTTTTTTGGTATTTTGTTTGTGAATGTCTTATCTCTCCTGAAAAGACTCTCTCTCTCTCTCTCTGCACTGATTTTTCATTGAAACTGTGAGACAACAGAATATAGTATATATAATATTTTTTATTCTTAAAGCCATTTATGAGAATTAAATTATTTGCAATCTTTTTATTATTTAATTTAGGATTTAATTTAATCAAACAGTTTTGCTATAATATAATATACACTACAAAACACAGATAAATCATAATAAAAATCTCATTAATCTCTATCTCCTTATCAAATCTGAGCTGAAATTACTTAAAAGAGATATTTAANTTATTTAATTTAGGATTTAATTTAATCAAACAGTTTTGCTATAATATAATATACACTACAAAACACAGATAAATCATAATAAAAATCTCATTAATCTCTATCTCCTTATCAAATCTGAGCTGAAATTACTTAAAAGAGATATTTAATGAATTCTACTCTAAATACAAAGCAATGAATTTGTTTCTTACGATTTGAATCTCAATCGCGTTATCAATACTAATGCAAAAACATACACTATTTGTATATAAGAAAAGGTTTTACAAAAATAAACCCTTTATTTGTCTGTCGTTTACAAACTGTGTGTTTGGGCTAATGATTGCCGACTAATGACCGCCTCTTTCCAGTAAAAGACGCTTTTCTCTGACGACAGACACAAAAACCTCTTTAACTGCAAATGCGATGCCTTTCCTCACCTCCTATTCACTACTTCTATCCAAAACTCATCTCATATTATAATTCTCTCTATTTTTGTCTATCATTTGATGTAAGCGTTAGTTTCGATTGCATTGCTTTCGAGACAACGATTTAATTGTTACGTTTAGTCTAATATAATGTGAATTGAGATAGGGATATAAGCGTATTTAGATACACATAAACTTATCATCAGCTGTAATTTCAATTCAAAGTCATTAAAACATGAGGATAACATCATTTCGTGAAAAAATAAATATACCATGAGCTAAATATAGAGTTATAGTGTTTTATTTATAAATAGGTTTCAATTCTTAAATTGTATTCAAATTTTTGTAATAATTATCTTAAATAAAATATTTTTAAATTAAAGAAATTTTAAACTAAAGTCTATACTAAAAAATGACTATATCTTTCATTCAAAACTTGGATATTCTGTGAAAGAATTTAATATTTCATTTTATCCGTAATTTTGATGTCACCGGTATATCATATTATTTTACAAATTCAATTTACAGAATACAGTACCTAACACTGAAGTTTTATGAAATTTTATTACACTTTTTAATAAAAAATATTTTAGTAAAAATCTGATTTAATATTAATATTGTGTTTTACTTGAATGTTATTTCATCAACAGTTATAAGTTATGTGCAAAATGTTTGTCTCACAACTACCTGCTCTGTATTGTATTGTATATGCCGTAGATTACTGTCCATTAATGCAATAAAAGTGACAAATTCTGTGTTTAATAGATCATCAAAAGATCACAACTATAGCTGCAAATGTATACTTTATTTGCTATCATTTTCTTTATTCTCGTTTACTCTGTGTTTAGAAAACTTTATTCAGTTTTCTTTATTTTGTCGTTTATTTTCATACACTTTATTCAAAAGCTTTTTATTTTATTTCAAATTTTGCGTTTACTCTCTACTCTTTTTTATTATTATTTTTGTTACTCTTAT